CCACGTGCCCTGGGCTGGCGCCCCCCGCCCCTCCCCAGCACTGGTACTGCCACGGTGGGGACGCATTGTCCTTTTAAGAGACACAGCCCCTTTAAGGCATGCAGCCCCGCTGTGGGACATTTGAGTACAGACATGCGGTATGCTCAATTCTTTCCAGGTAAGCTCTGGAGGTGCCGATACTGCAAACTGGGCAGTACCAACTCCAAAAAAGCACTGGCAATAAGTAATACTAAATGAGTAGTATTGTTAATAACATAACTGCATTAACTTATTTGCTGAAGATGGAGTCTCCTGAAAAATACAGAATTCTGAAGACTATCCACTTTCACGATCACCATTATTTTCTATAATTTCAGAGTTATCTGCCAGTGCTAGGGTTTCAGTCACATCATGCATGTCTCATACCAAAAATAAAACAAAATCTCCATCATCCAGAAACAGCCAGGCTACGTCTACACTGGCCCCTTTTCCGGAAGGGGCATGTTAATTTCACCTATGGGAAATCCGCGGGGGATTTAAATATCCCTGCGACATTTAAATAAAAATGTCCGCCGCTTTTTTCCGGCTTTTAAAAAAGCCGGAAAAGAGCGTCTACACTGGCCCCGATCCTCCGGAAAAAGCGCCCTTTTCCGGAGGCTCTTATTCCTACTTTGAAATAGGTGAAATTAACCTATGATAGGTGAAATTAACATGCCCCTTCCAGAAAAGGGGCCAGTGTAGACGTAGCCCCATAGTCTGAGATAAGAACCAACAGATGACAAAAAGAATTTTCAGAATTTCATAACTGACTGGAAATCACAGACAAGGAAGCTTTCAGTGCCTAAAGCAAAAGAGAACAGAACAGTAACAGTAATTACAGGAGCTTCAGGGGGTAGCTGAGTTAGGCTATTACAGACGTCCTTATGAAGTATGCATGCTTGTGACATACTCTTGTCCTACACTGACTGTCATGTACAAGGCATAAGTCAGGCCATTTACATTCCAGTTAAAACACAGGTCTAAAAACAATAAGTTGAGCAGTTAGTCCAAGACCCAGTGCATGCAATTTCATTGCTCACAGAGGATATAAGTAGAGTACCTCAGCCCATAAGCACGACCTTGCTAGTTAACAGGCCAACTGACAGCACTAGAGGTGACAGAATCCAAGAAGCACATTGCTCAGCTGGCAGCCCCCGGAGAAGCTGTTTTACCCGTGAACACAGCCGGAACAAACTTCGTGCGCTCTAGGCCATGGACAGCTGCCCGCTTGGATGCCACTCAGCGGGCTCCACACCCCATTTGCTTCCCAGTCTACACTTCCCGAGTTAGCCATAGGCTGGTTAGTCAAGACTCCAAGGCAGGCCAACCTAGGAGCCTACACGCCTCAACTCAGCATCACTCATCCAGCTGCTATGGCCAGGAAGCGCCAGCCCGGTTGAGCAGTTGCCCCCGGCGTTGGGACAGGCCTCAGGCACACGATCAAGCCCAGCCTGTGTGAGGCGACAGAGCATCAACCTCCCCTCAGGCGGGCGGCCCCGCATCGCTCAGGGCCCCGGGGCAAGCGACGGAGCCTCACAGACCCGAAAGACGAGCCCCGCGCACACTCACCAGTGGCCGCGTTGAAGCGCTGGAGGGAGGCCCTAGGGCAGGACATGGCTGTACTCGCGCCTCGTCCCTTCCACCGCGCGCACTCCAAACACCGCCCAACTCCCTTCCCGTTCAAACGGCCAACGGCCTTCTTCACGCACCCCGGACAGCCAATCACAAAACCTCATCCCCCCCGCCCATGCCTGGAGCACGCGCATCAAAGCGTACGGACTACCAGCGCCACCAACGCAGGCGTGGAAAAGTGGAGCTGTTGGACGCATGCGCAAAGCCTGCGTCGCTCGGCACGGTGCTGGCGGTGCCGCGGCCCGAGTCCAATGTCAGGGGACTTTGAGGAGCGGAGCGGGGTGGTGCCTTGCGCGACTCCGTGGGGTTGCTGGTACCAGACCTTGGAAGAGGTGTTCGTTGAGGTGCAGGTCCCGCCGGGCACTCGGGCCAAGGACATCCAGTGCAGCCTGCAGAGCCGGCCCCTGGGGCTGGCCGCCGGCAAGGCTGGGGGCGGGGTCCGGCCCAGGCAGGGCGCGGGAGGAGGCCCTAGTAGCTGCTGGGGGCTTTCGGGCCGCCGGGATGCGCTTGCTCTGGGCCGGTTCACAGACTTTGGCCCTTACTCCCCGAGGCAGCATGTGACCCCTCCAGCCCTGGCTTGCGTTGGTGGGAGCCGTGGGCGAGACGCCGCTTCTAGCACCGCGGTGAAGAGCAGATTTGGCCCCCGAGGGGCCAAGTGTCGTTGCCGTGGGTCTCTGAGTGGGCTCTCCTTGGGCGCCTACTTTGAAGTAGGAATAAGACCCTCCGGAAAAGGGCTTTTTTTTCCGGAGGATCGGGGCCAGTGTAGACGCTCTTTTCCGGCTTTTCTAAAAGCCGGAAAAAAGCGGCGGACATTTTTATTTAAATGCCGTGGGGGATATTTAAATCCCCCGCGGATTTCCCTATTACGACCTGGGAAATTAACATGCCCCTTCCAGAAAAGGGGCCAGTGTAGACGAGCCCCATGTGATTTAAGCATTTGAAGATGGAGACTTAATTTCCAATTCAGTCCCAGAATCCTGTCTTCATGTCGCCCTTAAAAATGATTAGCAGACAGCTGGTGATGTACAAATGAAGAATGTGTTGAGAACATAGGTAATTTTTACAAAATGTATTTTTGTAAGTACAAACCTATTACAAAGTTTGTCTTCCACACTTTCATTAGCAAATAGTAAAACATATTTAATGATATATTGTAGAGTACCCATAGGAATAAAGGAATCGGCTTTCTAATAAAAAATAGAAATGAGAGAGTTTCAAGGTTGATGCCCCTGTAAATTCTATGATAAATTATAGGGTAAACATTTTGCTTTTATATCTTAGTACTTCAAGCCTTTCTAACTTTACTTTCTAATTGAAAACCCCATTTTCTTTTCTATTGGCACTGGTAACAATTATTTGCATCATAATAATTTATTTATATTGTGCTGTAGGTATGCATGGCACTTCAGAGACATACAGGAACCTTGATAGGAATTAGGGATGTAAAACCCAGGTTAATTAGCTAACTGGTAAAACCAGTGGTTCTCAAACTTTTTGGGCTCCAGAGCCCTTTACATGTGTAAAAATGTATGCGGCGCCCCAGCGATCCACTGATTGTATGTATTGTACCTATCAATGTTTTCAGTTTGTCAGCCTCACAGAGCCCCTGGAGATGGCTCTGAGGAGCACAGTTTAAGAAACACTGGGTTAAACCAATTAAGTGGGCTCCTGCTGCCCGCTTCCCCAGGTAGGGGTCAGGCAGCAGCAGTTGGCTCCTCCTCCCCTTCCCTGCCCTCTCCTGCACAGGGCACAACTAGTTCCTGTTCCTGGGCTCTCCACTGGGTGATGCTTACCAGTTACATCCCTAATGAGCAGTCACATTAAAATAAGATCCTTCCTCTCTCTGAGACACCAGTCCCTTTTACTGAATGGAGATATTGAAACAGTGAGGGCTCAACCCGGAAGAGCCCTGCATGCACAGAACGCCGGACAGCACGGCTGGCTAGCGGGGCTCGTTGCTGCTTGGCGAGCTCTGGAAACAGTGATGGGCAGGGCTCGACAAACAATGTAATCTACTCGCCTGTGGCGAGTAGATTATACCCCGAAAGAGCTGGCGCAGAACAATCTGTGCAGTACTGCGCAGCTGGCAAGCCCTGCTGATAAGTATTTTAATTGTATTAAGTGAGTACAATTAACTAATCTCTTCAGATCTTATACCTCAAATAGTAAAAGGAAAAAGTTATAATAATCATTAAAAAATTTTTCAATATCAGGTTGTCCCATAGTTCCTTTTTAAACTGTAGGAAGTTTTCAAACATTTGCATAAAGGGGAGAGGGGATGTTTGAGATTCAGTATCAATTGGGTTGATACTGATTTTACATAACATTGTCTATCTTTTTCAGGGTAAACTCTTTGACTGCACAATAGCTGATGAAGGGATGTGGACATTAGGTAACTATATGCTTCTGTTAAATAACATTTTGAAAGTTAACGAGTGGTCCTCTAAGGTGCCACAGACTAACATATTAGTGGCAGATTGGACCCAGATCCATTCCGCCCACTATCCTGCGGTTTAAGGGCTGCGGTACAAGTCCCACTTGCCATTTCTCTGTGTTTGGAGCAAAACAAAGAAGTGTTGGGGCTGATGCCCCTGGCCAGTCAGGGCTGAGTAAACAGTCCTCCTCAGCCACTGGCTGAAGTTTCTGGCCACCCAGGGTGAAGGGAGGCTCCAACACTCCCTGTCAGAACCCCTCACCTCCCCTGCAGCCTTTGGCAGTGCTGATGATATCTGCTTAGCTCCTCTGATTCTCCTTACCAATTAGTTCCTCTCCTTCTCCACTCTCCCTTACCGTACCCCACTGGGAAGCTTTTTAAAGTCAGCTCACCTGGCCCTTAATTGATTTATAGCCACCCTGCCTCAGTTGCTCCTAATTAACAAGAGCAGTTGCTATTTTTTTTTTTCCAGAGCTGCCTTTTTTTCCCTTCTATCAAGCCCTTTAACCTGCCCTGTTAAAATACACACACAGACATGAGCTTTTGTGGGCAAAATCTACTGCAGATGAGCTGGAATGAAAAAATGGGGAACCCAAAATTTATAACAGAGAAAAAGAGAGTACCTGTCAATTGTAGAGCCAGTGATAGAGGTTAATTGAATGGACTGGAAGTGTCCCATACTTAGTTTATGTTAATGAGGTGTTAAATGTATGGAAGGCTGGTTTTATAATGGTACATACAGTTAATGTCTTTCTTCAAACCCAAGGAAACTCACATTTGGATATGAAGATAAATTCCACACTTGCTCTGTAATAGGCTTGTGAAATTCTTTTGTTCAAGCCCAGGGAAACAGCTATTTATGGAGTTAAAAGTAACCTCTCCTACAAAGATATTAACTGGATGTCCCATCTTCCATACATTTAACATCTCATTTACATCAAATGCTAAGAATGGGGCACTTTCAGCCCACTCAATTAGCTTCATCCCACTCAATTAGCTTCATTAGCACTGGCACTACAATTGAGGGGTACTTTTTTTCCTCCCTCATTTTTCTGTTGTAAATTCTGTTCTGTTCCCTTTTTATTTTATTTATATTTATAATTTGCTTGTCTCCAAGGTACAACAGGACTAGTTGGCCTTTAAAGTTACAGATGCAACTTATCACAGTTACCCCTCTGAGAATTTTGAAAAATAGTTAAATTTCTGTGTTTTGAACTCTCTCCACACATTGGTTTATTTCTTTTTAAGAACCAGAGTTTACTGAAATTGTCTTATGATCTGATTTCTTCACACATACAGTTCTTGGATCACAACATCATAGCCTCATGATGTCCGTTACTTCAATAATAATCATAGAAATTGTAGATGAAAGGAAATATTAAGTCTAGTATATTCCCTGCCAATGCAGGCTTGTTCCCCTTTGTATATGCTGGAGTTCTGGTTCTGTTCATCTGTTGCAAATGTCTTGAACAATCTGGCCTCATTGAGAAATTGTTGTCCAGAATTTTTCCCCTTGACATTGTCTAAATTTTTCTTTTCTTAATTTCATCCCATTACTTTGTTATAACTCCGTTATTATCCAGAGTAATTCTTTGTCCTCTGTAGTGCTGATGATTTTGAAAGTTGTTACCAAGACCTCAGCTTTGTTTTCCCTTAGTTGAGATGGACTGAGAAAAGATATTAATATGTACCTCTAAAAAGGTTCCACTTAGTTGGGGCAGAGGCAATGTGTACATACCATGTTTAAAGCATACAAATAAAGGGTTTTTTCCCTTGAAGTTTTCAGTTTGTCTTATTACATGTTGATGTGGATTTGTGAGTGTCTTGATTTTCAGTGAATCTTTTTGCATAGGCTTTAAGAATGAAGTTTCACCAGAAAATTCACTGAATTATTAAAGTTGAATTTGGCTGAAAAAGAGTATAGCACTTAAGAAGTCCAAAGTTATTTCTCTTTTTCTTATGAAGAAGACAGAAAATTGATACGTATTGTTCTAATGAAGACTAATCGAGATGCTGGAAATTGTTGGACCTCTCTGTTAGAAAATGAGTATGCTGCTGATCCTTGGATACAGGACCAGATGCAGAGGAAACTTACACTGGAAAGATTCCAAAGAGAGGCAAGTGAGAGAATACTAATTGCTATTTGTGCCTTATACATAGGCTATGGCCATAAAACTAAGCAAAATTATTTTACATATATCAGGGATTCAAAGTTAACCCATTTTTTCTATTGTTCATAGACTCATAGACTTTAAGGTCAGAAGGGACCATTATGATCATCTAGTCTGACCCCCTGCACAATGCAGGCCACAGAATCTCACCCACACACTCCTACAACAATATCTGAGATATAGGTGAGAGGATTAAAGCCTTCAGATAGTTTGAAGACCCCAAGATGCAGAGAATCCTCCAGCTGTGATTTGTACCCCAAGCTACAGAGGCAGGCGAAAAACCTCCAGGGCCTCTACCAATCTACCCTGGAGGAAAATTCCTTCCCGACCCCTAATATGGCGATAAGCTAAACCCTGAGCATGTGGGCAAGACTCACTAGCCAGACACCCAGAAAGTTCTCTATAGTAACTCCTATCATCCCTCCATTAACCTATTTACCACTGATAATGAATGGTCAATTAGTTACCAAGATCATGTTATCCCATCAAACCATCCTCTTCATAAACCCATTGGCTACGTCTACACTGGCATGAATTTCCGAAAATGCTTTTAACGGAAAAGTTTTCCGTTAAAAACATTTTCGGAAAAGCACGTCTAGAGTGGCAGGATGCTTTTCTGCAAAAGCACTTTTTGCGGAAAAGCATCCGTGGCCAATCTAGACGCGTTTTTCCGCAAAAAAGCCCCGATCGCCTTTTTCGCGATCAGGGGTTTTTTTTGTGGAAAACAGTACTATGCTGTCTACACTGGCCCTTTTGCGCAAAAGTCTTTCGGAACTATCCTGTTCATTGCACTCAGTGTAGCGTGTATGATTACCTGCCCTGTGGGCAGGTGGCGTATGTGTGCGTTTGGTGCAAGGAGCTCCTGGCCCTCAGAGACGGTGTACGAGCTTTGGAGGCCAGGGTGGCTGAACTAGAGGAACTAAGGGTGGCAGTGTGTTGATGAGGCTTTCCAGGGCACTGTAGAATTGCCCCATCTCTGGTCAGACAGCCCCTTCACTGTTAAGGAGGATGAGAGGCGAGAGCTCAGAGAAGGAGAAAATATAGAATCAAATGAAGTAAAAATCTTAAATGAAACAACATGTTCCATAGAAGCTCTATGGATAGTAATTCCATGCTCTAATAAGAATATAACAGTAGGGATATATTATTGACCACCTGACCAGGATAGACAGTGACAGTGATTATGAAATGCTAAGGGAGATTAGGCTATCAGAATAAAGAACTCAGTAATAGTGGGGGATTTCTGTTATCCCCATATTGACTGGGTATGTGTCACCTCACGATGAAATGCAGAGACAAAATTTCTCAATACCTTAAATGACTGCTTCTTGGAGCAGCTGGTACAGAAACCCACAAGGGGAGAGGCAATTCTCGATTTAGTCCTGAGTGGAGGGCAGGATCTGGACACTTTTCAAAGGCACCATAATAGAGACCCAACTTAAATGTATATCCCAAATTAAAAAATGCAGTACAAGAACTAAAGAGTCACTGTGGCTTACCAACCATGTAAAAGAAGTAGTAAGAGATAAAAAGGCATCTTCTAAAAAGTGGAAGTCAAATCCTAGCTAGGAAAACAGAAAGAAACATAAACACTGCCAAATTAAGTGTAAAAATGTTATAAGAGAAGCCAAAAAGGAGTTTGAAGAACAGCTAGCCAAAAAGCTCAAAGGTAATAACAAAACGTTTAAGTACATCAGAAGCAGAAAGCCTGCTAGACAGCCATTGGGGCCCCTGGACAACCAAGATACAAAAGGAGCACTTAAAGACGATGAAGTCATGGCAGGGAAACTAAATGAATTCTTTGCTCCAGTCTTCATGGCATAGGATGTTAGGGAGGTTCCCAAACTTGACCCGTCCTTTGTAGGTGACAAATCTGAGGAACTGTCACAGATTGAAGTGTAATTAGAGGAGGTTTGGAATTAATTGATAAACTTAATAGTAACAAGTCACTGCGACCAGATGGCATTCAGCCAAGAGTTTTGAAAGAACTCAATAGTTCTGCAATTTCACATTTAACTATGGTTTGTAACCTATCCTTTAAATTAGTTTCTGTACCCAATTACTGGAAGATAATGTAACACCAGTATTTAAAGAGGGCTCTAGAGGTGATCCCAGCAATTACAAACCAGTAAGTCTAACACCAGTACTGGGCAAATTAGTTGAAACAATAGTAAAGAATAAAATTGACAGATACGTAGAAGAACATAATGGCTACGTCTACACTGGCCCCTTTTCCGAAAGGGGCATGCTAACTTCACAGGTCGTAATAGGGAAATCCGCGGGGGATTTAAATATCCCCCGCGGCATTTAAATAAAAATGTCCGCCGCTTTTTTCCGGCTTTTAGAAAAGCCGGAAAAGAACGTCTACACTGGCCCCGATCCTCCGGAAAAAAGCCCTTTTCTGGAGGATCTCTTATTCCTACTTATTCCTACTTTGAAGTAGGAATAAGAGATCCTCTGGAAAAGCCGGAAAAAAGCGGCGGACATTTTTATTTAAATGCCGCGGGGGATATTTAAATCCCCCGCGGATTTCCCTATTACGACCTGTGAAGTTAGCATGCCCCTTTCGGAAAAGGGGCCAGTGTAGACGTAGCCATTATGTTCTTCTACGTATCTGTCAATTTTATTCTTTACTATTGTTTCAACTAATGGCAAAAGTCAACATGTTTCTGTAAAGGGAAATCATGTCTTACTAATCTATTAGAGTTCTCTGAAGGGGTCAGTAAACATGGACAAGGGGATCCAGTAGATATAGTGTACTTAGATTTCCAGAAAGCCTTTGACAAGGTCCCTCACCAAAGGTTCTTATGTAAATTAAGTTGTCATGGGAAAATCCCTTCATGGATTGATAACTGGTTAAAAGACAGGAAACAAAGGGTCGGAATAAATGGTAAATTTTCAGAATGGAGAGGGATAATGAGTGATGTTCCCCAGACGTCAGTCCTAGGACCAATCCTATTCAACTTACTCATTAATGATCTGGAGAATGGGGTAAACAGTGAGGTGGCAAAGTTTGCAGACAATACTAAACTGTTCAAGATAGTTAAGACCAAAGCAGACTGTGAAGAACTTCAACAAGATCTCACCAAACTAAGTTTTGGGAAACAAAATGGCAAATAAAATTTCATGTGGATATATGTAAAGTAATGCACGTTGGGGGGGGGGGGGGGAC